CCGTGTCGAGGGCGAGGAACCAAGGCGAGTCCGGTACAGGGGGGCCGGGATCACGGGGGGAATGGGGTCAGTCAGGGGCTGAGACTGGGCAGCAGGACCAGGATAGGGAGGGGATCGGTACAGGGAACAGCCACAGGGAGAATGGGGGAAGCGGAGTGGAAAATGGGGCTGAAGCAAAGGAGAGATGGGGACCGGGACAGAGGCGTCACCCAGCCCGGTTGAGGCTGGACCCGGGCCTGGGGCGGTTCTCTCGGTCCTTGGGCTGGGCCAGGTTAGGGGACCAAGCCCCACGTGAGTCAGAGGCATAAGTGGCCCCCTCGCTGGGGCTGGAGGGGAGAGCTGTCCCTGTAGGGCACAGGGTGTAGGGTCGGGACTGCGTGTCACCAGGGCAGGGGCACTGTCACTTTGCTTGGGACCCCCCTATTGCCTGTCACCTGAGGTGGGCTATAGGACTGGAGCACTTGGTGCTGTTTATTCTCTATCACTATCCAGGGAGACGATAGAGATGGGTCAGCGGGCTGAAAGCTGGGGAGAAGAGACATCTTCCCTAGGCAGACCCCTCTGAGAGAGCGCTGGGACCCTGTGGCTGTGCAGGGGATTCTGGGGGTGGCCAGCAGAGCTTTTCCACTGCCGGGGACTTACAGTGACTCTGGCTGCTGCAGGGCTAGACCATGAGCTGGCTTTCTCCAAGATCATTGTGGAGCTACGAAAGAAGCACCCAGGCCACATCCTGCCAGATGAGGACCTGCAGTGGGTGTTTGTGAATGCAGGCGGGTGGATGGGCTCCATGTGCCTGCTCCATGCCTCGCTCACCGAGTACGTGCTGCTCTTCGGGACAGCTGTTGACACCGGGGGCCACTCAGGTAAGCAGGGAGACAGGTCTGGCAGGCAGGGTTGTTCTGTGAGCTCTTTCCACTCCACTTGTTTGGGTCCAGCTACCCTGGCTGTGGTGTGCCTGGCACAGGCATTGCTTCGCTTCTTGTATGGGGTGGACGATGCTGGAAAATAATTTGTGGGGCCTAGCCTGCGTGGTGTCCTGCACCACCTGTGGGTCCCTGTGCATGACATGCTGTGTGGCCAGGACTCTCCGCATCCAGCTGGCAGGCAATGGCAGACATCTCATCTCCCGGTGCTTCAGCAGGAAGCAAATGCCAAACAAGGTGGAAACGATGGGGCTTAAGGACACCAAGCAGCCCAGGCTGGCTGTTCACACAGGCAGCCTGGGTACCAGACCCTTCTGCGCTTCTTGGTGTATTGAGGCCCTGGGGCTTGGCATCTTCACCCCTGGAGAGCTGCTCCATGGTTCAGACCTGAGCTCCTGCACTGTCCCTGGCAGGGACATGCTCAGCCAGTGCTGTCCGTCCTCCCATAGGTCGGTACTGGGCAGATATTTCTGACACTGTCATCTCTGGGACATTCCGGCAGTGGAAGGAGGGGACCACCAGAAGTGAGATCTACTATCCAGGTAAGTGCAGTAGCCATAGCACCCTGTGGGTTGTGTCCATGTCCTTGGGACAAAGCCACTCACTGTCATAAAGCCCCTTCCTTCAAGCTGGCCGAAAGCTCTGGATAGGGCAGTTTATGTCCCCAGTGACACATCCCAGCACCTCAGTGGCTGGCAGTAAGAGAAAAGTGAGCAAGGCTGGGGGTGGGTTGGGATGCTCAGCCTTGCAGGTCCCAATCTCAGGTGTCTCCCCTTTGGGCATGATGTAGGGCAGCTCCTGGGAGCCATTCTGGTTGTGTTTGTTGGCAGGAGACACCATCGTGCACCAGGCGGGAGAGGCCACATCAGTGCAGTGGAGCGCGGGCACCTGGATGGTGGAGTACGGCCGGGGCTTCATCCCCTCCACACTCGCCTTCGCCCTGGCTGACACCCTCTTCAGCACTCAGGACTTCGTCACCCTCTTCTACACCCTGCGTGTCTATGCCAAGGGCCTGCTCCTGGAAGCCAATGCCTTCTTCAGCACCTTTGGATGCTGAGCCAGTCTTGCCAGGGCACCCTGCCGAGCCCAGTTGGCTCCACTCCTCCCAGCCTTTCTCTCTTCCTCCCCAAGCCCAGGTTCTAGCAGAGGCAGCAGGAGATCCCCTGTGCCTTCCCCAAATTTCTCTGTCCTTCCCCATAGGCCAACGGGGTGCCAGGACAGAGGGATCTTGGTGGTCACAGCAATACAGACCACTAGTTCTCTTTACTACTTGCCTCTCTCTCTTTTCTATCAGAGTCATGTCCAGCTTTTCCATCCCTCGGGGCTGGAGTGGCCTTGCAGTGTACAAACACCTCTGTGTGCTCTCAGCATGCAACGGGAGAGGGGCTGGAGCTGGCTGTCCCCAGGCCCCACAAAATTTCTGCAGCTCTTGAGACATCAGGAGAAGGATGCCACCCTCAGGGCTGGGCGCACAGGGTGAGCCAGGCTAGAGCACCGACTGTAAAGGTCAGCCAGTAAGTCCCCCATCTCCCTGGCAGCCTGCCGGGACTGCGGGCAGCGCAAAGCACTGTGTCCAGCTGGCAGCATCTCCCATGGCTCCATCCCTGCTGATGTAGGTTGGCAGCACACAGTGTCACCCTGGCACGGGGCAGGATCTGCGCTGAGACCCCCCGGCAGTGGGGGAATGTCCAGCTTCTGTGCTGGAAATCCCCCTGGTCCCCTGTGTGTCATCTGCCCCAGGGGATGGGCCAGGGCTGGAAGAGGGTCCCTTTCCCACAGTCCCCTCCCTGCAGTCCCCCCCCTAAGGGGGAAACCCACCGTCTGTCGCCTTAATGGAAACCCCGTTCTGCATGGCCTCTTGGCTATGCACGTACCCAGTGTCCTCGAGTGCCCAAATGTCTGTTTTACTAGCTCAGGATGGGATCTCGCCCTTCAAAATGCTTCCTCTGGCTGTGAGATCCCATGGGGACAGCCACTCTGCTCGGCTCCCGGCATGGGATCCCGGCTGCTGACAGAGCGCTGCAGTGCCCCAGTGGAACCCAGCAGTGGACCCTGCTTGCATCCCTGTGGCCAGACCCATGTGGGCTCACTGCATGGTGGAGGACTTTCACCTCCACGCTGCTGCCAAGCACGTGTGTGTCCCTGGCCACCCAGGCCTGTAGCATGTTGCTCCTCCTCCTCTGTGGACTGTCCCTGTCTGCTGACCAGCAGCCCTGCACATGGGCTACTTCTTAATTTGCTACCTGAATAGAGATAACAGTAATAAAGTTGTTCATCCCACATGCTCAGGTGTCTGGGAGAATCTCTGGAGCATGCTGAGCCCTGCTATGGCAAAGGCCAGCCACATGCTCAGCAGTAGCCCTCCTGACAGCTGAGTGTCCCCAGGGAAGGTGGTCTCATCCCTCTTGGGGTCCTGGGAGATAGAGGGTACAGTGTTGGGCAGGATCAGCCCTGTCTCAGCTCCCAGGGATTGGCAGAAGATGGTGCTGTTACTCCTCTCTCCACTGCAGTCGCTGGGGACCAAAAGCCTGGGCTGATGCCAGGTCCCTGCTTCCACGGGGGGTCTTAGAGCCCAGGGGGCTCCATCCTTTTGGGGGACAGTGCCAATGTTGGGTTTGTGGTGGATGGACCTAGACACAGCAGGTGATGGTTCTGAGAGGTATACACACACACACACACACATACACACGTACACATGTTGGCAGACATGCTACATGCATGTATACATGGAGGCAGGCAGGATTGTTGTCTGTGTGTGTGTGTGTCTGTGTGTCTGTGTGTATTGCCAAGTCGTGCAGGTGGGTGCATGCATGTAGAATAGTTTTCAGGTGGGTGTAGGCACAACAGGTGGTGGCACATGAGTGTATATAAGTAGAACAATCGTTTGCCTGTCCACACAGTCTGGGCAGTTGCACACATGTGAGTGCTGGGACACGTGGGTAGGATGTGCACGTGTGCATGTGCCTGTGCAGGTGAGATAAGTGTGTCATGCATGTGCATGTGCACAGTGTGCAGTGCATGCACCAGCAGGTATGTACACCCTTTTGCTCACCTGTGTGCTCATAGTCAGATCGTGTGTATGCACACATGCACGTGGGCACACACAGGCTGGGTGTGCTCACACGTGTGTGTTCCCATGGGCTGCGAGGCCTCCCTGGCCCCACACTGTGGCCCTTCCCTGGGGTCTAGCTGGGCCCTGTTGGGAAACACAAGCGATCCCACACAAGCTGGTCCGCCTGGGAAGGCGCTAACTCAGCAGCTCGTATCAATACCGCTCCACTTACAGCGAAGGCCGCATAATGAAAATCCGATGGGCACGCTGGTGGGAGTAAATAAGTATGCCATTAAAATAAGAAAATCAAAGCTCTGGACAGGTCTTTTCTCTTGCCCATTGATTTCTTTTATTACGGAAATATTGCTGCTAAATAACATTAGTGTGAACAATCTCAGCAGTGTTTTCTGTAGCACCTGTGTCAATAACTCCATCACGGGTGGGGGATCCCTCCCAGCCTGGCCGCAGGGACAGCAGCCTGGTCCATGCTAAGGGCTGCTCTGAGGGTGCCTTCCTCAGCATTCCCAGCTAGGCTGGGACATGCCAAGCAGAGAAACCATGCAGCATTGGTGTCTCAGACTCAGGAACCCTGGCTGCTTTGCTGCAGCAGGAGGGGTTTCCCCAATCCCAGCACTGAGCACAGAGAATGCCGGGCATTCAAGGTTTCCAAAAAGCATCCCTTCCCTTTGCTGCACGTGTTTGCAGCCTCTTAATCAGGTTAAGTGTCTCCAGTGACTAAAGAGGAAAAATGGGTCCTGGACAAAGCATGTCATGAAGGCTTTTGGTACCTCTGCCCCTTCCTCCCCACACCTCCTCATCCATGCTTGGATCCATTCTGGCTTGCCCCCACTCCCTGCAGCTTACTATCACTTGATTCTCATGGAGAAACTGAGCCACAGGGTGGAAACTCATCCACAGTCACCCAGCTGCAGCACAGCCCCTGTGCCAGGGCCAAGGCTTGCACTTCAACTGCTCCTCTCCCCCTTGGCTGCCCAGGCACCCATCCTTCAAAATACCCACAGACAGCAGAGGCATCCCTGTAGGGGCAGAGAGTGTGACCAGGACACACAGAAGATAGGCACCCTCTGGTACCCAGAGGCCAGATAGGACCCCAGGCTACCTTAAAGGACACCAAATCCTTGTGGAGTGGCTGGAGACGGGCAAGGAGAGTAAGCCACAGACACCCGCACCCTGGGTCTGGGTCTGGCTCTGCCTCAGCCCCAGCTGAAGCAACTGTGAGTGGCATCTCCCCAGAGCCACTACCAGGACAAATGCACATCGCTGCCTTCCTAACACCTACCCCCTGCAATTTGCTTTATCTTGCTGTCCCTCCACATGCAGTGGGTATTGATCAGCCCGCAGGATCTATCTCTCGATTCCTCCTGCGGTATCTCTCTGCTCCGAGTATCTCTCACTCCACTCCACTGTCTGCTGTGCCCGTCTATACCTCCACTATCTATCTGTGCTGCCTCAACCACAGCTGTCAATAGCCCTTTGGGGAATTTCTCTCCAGCTGGGAGCATCACCGGACCCCATCAGTACAAAACGCTGAGCAGGAGGGTGGAGGTGACATGGTCCTGCTTGCTGCACGGAGGAGAGCCTGAGCACAGACGTACTTCATGACACAAGTGCAGAACCCCAGAACTGCTGTTGTCACTGTGCAGGCTCTAAAGAGGAACTGAGTCGTGCTCGTCAGGCTGGTCCCTTGGTGGCCAAGTCCA